ATATTTGACAGGCTTAATGCCAAAAGATTTAGCCATTTTTTCTTACCTCTAGAAAGAGCAGAAGAAGCATACAGTTTTTTCTTATCATGCAACCACCCCTTCATCTTGTGCAGATCACACCATTGTTCTGCCTCTAGATCTCCTGGGTGGCAGCAGACTTTTTTCCCTCAACAATGCCTTGCGCGCAAGTGGGGAGAAGTTATGCCAACAAACTCCCCCACATGACTCAGCATTTCTGCTGGGATTCTGGTGCTTCCAGCAGATCCAAATAGTGAGGAGGACTTATGTCCTGGGAGCATAGTGGCAGCTGGCATGCGGGCTGTGGGGTTAAGCTGGCCTCCCAGCCTGCCCAGGCTCCGGGTACCAGCACAGCTGCAAAACTGCCCAGCTCTACGTCTCTGGAGGGTTCTCGCTCCCTCTGCCTCCTCCTCCTCCTCACTTCTTTCCCCCTGAGCCTATCGCTTCCATCAGGGAGGGAGAGATCGACCCAAGATGATTCTTCCGTTTTCCATAGCAGCTGCTGACCAGGCTGGGGCAAGACCAGTCAGGGGCACGCAGTTTGCACAGAGGGAGGAAATCCCCACCCACCCACACACTGGCCACACACACAGACACACACGCACGCGTATTGTGTCTGCCTTCAGGCCTATGTGCAAATACGATTTACATCCCCTGACTTGTTTATGAGGGCTGGGCATAATTGGCTTGCCTCACGCAACACCTCGGCGCCCCATCCCACCTCGTCCCCCCACACACCTCTAAAGAAATTAGAAAAGTGACAACAAACTCCAGTTATGGAAAACCCACAAACTCACCACCAATCATGCTCCTGGCATGGCAGAGGGGGTGGGACTGCAAGCTGGGGGAGTAATTGGTGAACCCAGGGTGAATGAAATAATTGGAAAAGTGAGGTGTGAGTTTGTTACCGAAGTGTGAGCATGGTGGGGGAGGGGAGGAGGGCTGTGTTTAAAAGCCTGGTATGTCCTCTTCATTCACAGCTTCTGATACAGTAATTGCTACTTTGTGGTTTCTATTATCTGCACAGTGGGGAGTGTGGTGTGCGTCTCCTTCCCCAGCGGCAGAGCTGGGCTCAGGGAGGAGTTCCTGGGTGCCCCATGTTCTTCTTCCTCCCCAGTCCCTGGTGGCCTTGCCCAGCTTCACCCCCACCGTGGCCTAAGCTCCCAGAAGACAAAGGTTCGTGCTCAACTTCCTTCAAAAGCTGCTCTTAGAAACGGCTCCGTAGACCTCGCTGTCAGATAAGAACCTTAATAATGGCTGGTATTTATATATCGCTTATCTCCAAGGAGCTAAAGGTACTTCATTGATTTCTTCTCCCCCAACCTTTTTTTTTCTTTTTAATTCTCTTTCGATAGCTCTCTGAGATCATTAGTATTGGCCTTATATGATCGCACACCGTTATACAAGTGACCGAGCCACTCACTGTCCAGCTTTGTTCTTGGGCTGGGAGAAGCAGCCCGGGTGAGAAAGATCTCGCCCGGATTTTGAGTTCTTGGGGTCATGGGACATGGGCAAGTCACCTTTCTTCTCTGGCTCTTGGTTTTCCCATCAGTAAAACAGAGGCATGGAGATGATGTATTTAAAAGACTTCGCACATTCCAGGCACTCGTTGGTAGCAGAGGTGCCGGCAGCGATGATGTCTTGACGCCTCAGCCTTGAGTTTCAGGAAGTGTCCACAGACATCAAGAAGTTCCTTCTAAGACCTAACCCTAACCTTCCAGTTTCTCTTTAAGCCCCAGTTCTCTCTTGTCCTGTTCTTAGAAGGCAGGAAGAAACCTGCTCACCATAGCCATTTCTCTGACTCCCTGAAGAACAACAGGATTTCTGAAGCTTCTAGAGTCTTCATAGGCGGCATTTCATTTGTCGTGCCGATGTCTGCCTGGAAACACCCGACCACAGCTGTGACCTCCCCAAGGCCCTTCAACCGCCTGGGACGGGATCCCCAGCTCCCTGACCCCTGCCCATGATCCCAAGTAGATCCAGGGTGCCCTTCTGTCCCGGCTTTCCCCACTGTGCTCTCAAATGCCACTTCAGCAGGCCACGAAAGCATGGCTCCTGCAGTCTCTCCTCAATGGCGTTTCTCTCTACCTTTTAATTATTTTTCTCGCCTTTCTCCAGACCCTTAGCTGCTTACCATGCACAGAGCATCCACAGCTTGCGATGTGCTGCAGAGAGGGAGGAATTAACCTCAACAGTCTCTCTCCCTCTCTCTCCCCTACCCCTTCTCTCCTACACTGACAAACACACACACACACGCACACGCGCGCGCACACACCCACACACAGAGTCTGGCTTACCAAAAACCCCTTCTCTACTACACTCACAAGCACACACACACACACGAGTCTGGCTTACCAGAAATTAGACAGAGCTAAGAAATCTGGGCAGAGGTCCTTGAAGACCATCAAGGGATAGGAAATTATAGCCCTGGTGGGCAGAAGTAGAGGGCTTGCACACAGTGTGAGCAGACGGAACTGGGACTCAGCCTACCTCCCCTTGCCTGGTGGTCTTAGAGAAGTCACCAGACCCCCAGGAGTCTGCACAGGGCATTCCCAGCCACCCTGCGTGGGCCCTCCTGCTTTATCCCAGACCTGGCCAAGACTCGGGAAGAAAGAGGCCCCAGCTCTTGCCAGTGGCCAGTCCCCGTCCAGGTGATGCAAGGAGGTTGAGTCATTATGCAGCAGAAAAAGAGCTCAGGTGTAACAGCAGGCATGCCTGGATCTGCATTCTAACCCTGCTGCCTGTGAGCAAGGACCACTGGCTCCCAGAGCCTCAGTCTCTTCATCTGTAACATGGGGATGATAAGGCTAAGAGAGTTCACGTTTGTGCTGTGTGTTTCATTTCACCCTCATCACCGCCCTCTGAGGGTAGCTGTAATTTACCCAAGGTAACGTCTACCTTCCAGGGCTACCATTTGCTTCTTCATTCGTTCCAAAAACACCTTCAGGTTTCTACCCTGAGCCAGACGCTGGGCTCACTGCCACAGGTCTGATGATGAGCAAGATAGATGGGGCCTGGACTCTTGCGGAGCAGAGCCCTAGCCCCGGCCATAGAAGGCAGAGAAGTAAACAGGCATGTACCCCACACAGCCCTGGTCAGGGAACACAGTGAGCAGTGACACTGTGGATGGAGGCAGTCACCCCGGCCTCGTGGGGTGGGAAAGACATCTCAGGGCTAGTGCAGTTAGGGGGATGCCAGGGCAGGGACAGAGGGACCAGCACACCCAGTGGCTGTCTGTGACCATGTTGAGAAAGCACCCAGCCTGGTCCTCCCTGTGCCCATCAGTTGCCTCATACCAGCTCTGAATGCTCTCAGGCTCCAGCCCCATAGCCACCAGATGTGCCATCCCTGCGATCTCAGTGGCCCTCCGAAGACTTGGACCTAAAGAACCATTCACCTGAAGGAGCTCACAAGAAAATTTGTCCATGCCCTGCCCTCCATGTTCAAAGCCAGCAGGGCATAAGGGCTTTGGTGGAAGGAAGAGCAGCAGTGTCTGTCATGGGATACAGCCGCCTTTAGGTGGCAGAATGAAGCAGGGTTTGCGGGCTTGAGTCCTCTCAGCTCTCCAGCCTCACCTTGTCCCCACCTGCCCAGCCGCTAGTCCCCAGCCCCGGCCCCCCTCCAGCAGGGAAGCCTGACCGGGCTCCAATCCCCACGTTCCTGGCTCCTTCCCCTCCCCGGGAGGCTGGCCTTGTCACCAGTGCCTCTCTGCCGTTTCTGGTTGCCTGTGCAGAGGAGGCACCAGGAGGGGGGAGCGGAGCTGCTGGGGAGAGCTCCGAGGAGACGTGCAGATTCATTTTGAGGATTCATAATGCTGCATTTACACACCGTCCTGCCTTCAGAAATTGGGCTGGCAGATGCCTGGTCATGCTGGCAGGGCTGTGGGTTAACGCCTCAGATTTAGCTTATATCATTTCACGAGAGCTTACGGCCTTTACTGTGTTTTTTACCCAATCGGTCTTTGGCCCCGAGGCATCCTAGACCGTCGTGCATATGTGTGTGTGCCCAGGCGGCCGCCAGTGTGTGTAGATTTTCAAATAAAATAATACCTCTCTTCAGATGCCGTGCACATTAAATATTTATCGGCAGCAATTTGTGCGTATATATTTGATAAATGGACATTAGGAAGGGATTGGGGGGTGGGAAGTCAGACAGGGAGGCAAGGGAGGCCTGGAGAAAGCCCTATCCCTTTGTCCTAGAATTTCTCAAAGGTTTACCCTGGAGGAGAGGAGGGAGCCGGGGCAGCGGGCCGGGGTTGGCGGGGGGAGTGGTCCAAGGCCGTGGTTACCGGTTTGATCCCTGTCAGGAGGAGCCAAGCCATTTTCTTCTCCAGAGCCTTGCCCGACTTTGGCTTAGAAGATATCGAAATGATAGCTCAGAGGGAGGGGAAGCAGGGTTTAGACGGAGTAGCTGCGTGTCATTTGAGCACTGACGAAACAAATGTCCCAGGTTCTAGGTCCGAGAGAAGGGGCCCCATCCCATTCACTCAGCCCAGGGTCACCGTGTGCTCAGCTCAGACGTAGAGGCGGTTTGGAAAGATCAGGAGACCCTGCTGATCCATGTCCAGAGACCCAGCTCACACACATGGGCAGACCCATTGCCCTGACCAGGCTCCCCCCCACCCCCCACCGCCAGCCTGTCTGCTTATGTACTAGGCAGGGTCCTCCCCAGTGCAAAGTTACCCCACAGGGAAGTGGGGCCTATTGGGGGGCAGAGTCTCTCTAGCCGTTGCAGAGGAACTGAAAATTCTCCAATTGCATCTCCAGCCCGATTGTTCCCTCCCAGCCCTGCCTGATGGCCGGGGCCTGGGAGGAGAAGGCCACTCATGCCCCGGAGCTGACATGTGCGTGCGTCTGTGTGTGCCTGCCAGCACTTGTCTTTTATAACTCAAAGGGATTCATGTGTGAGAATCAGTCCTGTCTCCCCCACCTCCCTTGCAGGCCTCTATTCTTAAACCCCCATGTCTTGCCTTTTGTTTCTAGCACCTTTGGGGAGTTGAAGACGGTCCGCCTGCCAAAGAAGATGACCGGGACAGGCACACACAGAGGCTTTGGCTTTGTGGACTTCCTCACCAAGCAGGATGCGAAGGTGAGACCGTGGCTCCCTTCCCCGCCTGTCTGGGACCCTTTGTAGGAGAGGCAGCCAGGCCTCTTACACATGGATTCCCCTCCCCATGCAGGGGTTCTGTTTTTGCCTTTGATTTTGCTTAATGTGTACATCATCCTTGGAGAAGATCCTAGGGGTCTTGTATCTGGAGGAAGGGGCAGTTTCTGTGTCCCCTTCCCTCTCCCCATTTCACATGTGCAGGAGCCTGGGACATAAACTGGGGATGGGAAGCAAATGGGTGTCCCAGGCTTCTCCAAGCCATCAAGAAGATTCCTCAGTTCAGGTGGGCCCGTGGGTAGGCAGCATGGGAAATGCCACGCAGACAGTGCGGAGAGGGCAGAGCACTGGGAATGGAGAGCAAGAGGCACCTGAGAAGCAGCCTCGGAATGCGTCTTTCCCTTCCTTTTTTCCACTCGTGGCCAAGGGTTCTGTTTTATGCCGGTTATCTGTGTGGGCAGCCCAGGCAGGGGCAGCCACGTGCAAGCGTGTACCAGGATCCCTCCAGGCTCCTAGAGAACCTTTTATTTTTGAAACAAGGCAACATCTCCAAATTGGCTCAGTTCAGCACAGCCAGGCTTTGCTCCCACAGTGGGTGCTGGGCCCAGCCGCAGATGTGGGGCAGAGGCTATGTGAACAAGGCCCCAGGTGTACCCAAAGCCACTGCCTTCGAAGCACCAAGCTTCAGGTCAGAATCCGGAAGGAAGGTGGCAGCAGAGCTGTCACAGTGCGCTGCCCTCTGTGAGCTCTGCCCGCGGTGGCCAGTCCCCTCTCTCAGCCTCACTGTTCCTCAAGGGTAAAATAAAGTGACAGGGAGGTCTCATTCTTGGCTGGGATCCCCCCTACCTCTGATGAGCTGTTCCTTGGAAGAACAGTGAGCATTTCCTGGAGTCACAGCCATGGGCTTTAGCAGGCTGGCATCACAAGAGGCCCGGGGGTGGGTCAGCTACGCAGAGCCAAAGGTGGCAGCTCTGGGACACAGCTGCAGCCTTTGTGGACCCTGGGAACATGCACAGGCAGAGAAGGCGCACAGGGACCCTCGGAGAGCCTCGCCAGCCACCTTTGTCTCCGAGTCTTGAGCTGAAGTGCCTGTTTTGTTGACACATGGCTGTGTTTGTCCGGACATCTGCTCCTCTCTCCTCCTGGCTGGCAGCCTTTCCCTTGCCTCTCGTCAGGGACAGCAGGGGACACACCTTGCGTGCAGCAGGTCATGGCCCTCGCTGTTACAGCGGGGCAGGCACATGGGGCCCTGTGTTGGCTCAGGGCTGCACTAGAGGGCTGCCTTTCAGAGTACCACGCATGGCAGCTTGCCCCCCACCGGCCTTCCCTATGCCACAGCTTTCTCATCTGCGAAACGGGAATGATGGCCATGCCCCGCCCCCCAGGGTTAGGGCAGGTGATGCATCGGAGGCACTGACTGGGTCCTGACATGTGGTGAGCACTCAATACCAGCACACTGTTTCCTTCTCGTTGCCACCAGCCCGGGTCCCTTCAGAGCCACCCTTGGTCCGTGGAATCGTGCACACATTTGATGCTCTGTGGACAGAAGGGAGTGCAGGGCAGCATCTTTTCTCCACTGCATTCCACTGAGCTCGACTGGGTGGTGATGGTGTAGATGTGTTGTCATCCGCCTTATAGCAAAGTTCCTATAGGAAGCTGTGCTTAGGGGAGAAATGAGGGATTCACTCCCTGCCCCTAAGAAATGTCTCTTACGAAGACCGGTGTGAGAGCTTGTCGTTAGAGCAAACTTCAAACCCAATCAGCCTGAGTTTGAACCCCAGAGCTGCCCTGAATCTCCCATGTGGACTTGAGCAAGTGACATCCTTTCTGTGTGCCTCAGTGTCCCCTGTCGTAAAATAGTCATAGGGCTTTTCATAGAGTCATTGTGAGGTTTGGATGGGGTGATAACCTTAGAACAGGGCCTGGCCCCTGCGTCCTGGCTGTTGGCTATGATGAGGAGGCGGAAGGCATTGGTGGTGACGATGGTGATGATCTGAAATAAGGGGATATTCTCCTTATTTGACCAGCCACTGGGCCTCTTATCTGACCCACACACTGGGCATCTTGTGATGCAAGCCTGCTAAAGCCCAGTGGGTGCGACTCCAGGAAACGCTCACAGCAGCTCAGGAATAGCTGTTGGAGGTGGAAGGGATCCTACCCATTCAACGAGAGCAGAGAGCAAAGGTGTCGGAGCCCCTTCCCTGGAAGCCCGGTTTCCACACAGCAGCCTCTCTTCAGCACCCAGAGGTTGATGCCGAGTTGACTCAGCCCTTGGGACATAGAGGGTCCGACCAGGGCTGGGCCCGGCCGTGAGCCCTTTGACATTTCACTGTGGGCTCAGTTTTGCCCTTCAGCTTTATTAGGACAGAAGGTGGACTCCCAGGTAATCAGGGCAGTGCGTGTCATTAAGGAGGTTCACCCAGTGCCCAGGCGGCCTGAGCTTGGCACCTCCAGGCCCAGCCAACGGATGCTCATTCTGAAGCCCAGCACGGCCCTCTGGTGATTTATTAAGGTGGCAGCTCCTCCGCCTCCATCCCTTCCCTGCCTTCACTTCGGGCTCTGGGAGGAGAAAGGGCAGCTGAGGACAGTACAGGCTCAAGTCACAGCCCCTCCAGGATTGGCCCTTCTCCCTGTCAGGAGGCTATTTCTGGTCCCGCCGTCCCTGCAGCGACTCTTCCCTCTCCCACGCTGGGACTCGTACCCTCAGTGCCCGCCACAGGATGCGCTGATCTTCCAGGAAGGAGGAGCCCACCACAAGCGCATCTCTCCTATAAGGATCCCTTTGCTCTTTTTGCTTCCTGGGGAAGCTGCCACTGCTCTCTTCCTCCCCGGCCCCAGGTCTGTCTGGAGAACTTTATCATCTCTGAGTGGAGCATTTAGCACTCTCCACTGACCCGAAGAATCCTGCACACTGCATATTACTGAATAGAATTCCGAATATTGTAAATATCTAGTTAGCTCGAGGGTAGGTGTGAGTTTGAAGAGGGAGAGCAATACTGCCAGAGACATGGAGTCAAAAGCCCTCTTTTTTATCTCAGCAGAAGGAATTAGTGAGAACCCAGGGCTGGTAGAGGAGCCTCCATGATCCCAGCCTTTCAGGGCCGGCTCCCATGCATCCCCCCACCCCTCCGTGGAAGCTCTTAGGGAAGGAGACCTCCTTTAGAAACCCTTCCCGGGGCTCAGTTCAACCCTGACCCACTCAGATCCCCCACCGAGGGCATTGATCCCATTTCCTGCCATGGCACCCTCAGTGAAGATAGTCACCCCCTGTGTTGGCATCGGCCGCCTCTTGAGCCAGGAGGTCTGCCCCAAGCAGTCCTGAGATGGGAGGAAAGAAGGGAGGGATTGGCTGAAAGGAGGGGTCAGCTGAGCTCATTGTAGAAGGTGAGGCTAGAAAGGAATAGAGAAATGAATGGTTTCTGGGAGGCTCCAGTGCTGCGGCTTGAACCCCGGTATCTCGACTCCCGGAACAGTGCTCTTTCCCCATCATCCACCAGCCCATTTGTCTGCTGGCAGAGCATAGAAGAATTAAGACATCCCCTCGATACCAGTCTCTGCTGTGGCCCTGAGCACGTGCCGTCTCCACCATCCCTGATCTGAGGGGTTCTAAGTTGTCTGACTTTTCTCCATGAGACCCGCGTCCCACTGTGCATGTCCCCCAGGGCTCTGTTATATCCATCAGGCCCCTTCTGGATCAAGCGCACACACACCCAAACTGGAAAGAGAATCCTTGCGAGAGGTTCCTCAAAGGCTGTTGTGGCAGAGCTCAGAGTAACCAGGCAACTGATGATAATAGCAAGAGGCTCCCTCGAGCGCCGGCTTTGTGTGTGACATTCACCACACTCGCACCGCCCCACCCCAACCTGCGGCAGCCCCAACCTCAGGCGGGAGATTTGCATCCCGTCTCCCTCCCCAGCCTCACCAAGCATTTGCTAAGCTCCAGCGCTGAAGGTACCACGGAGCCCTGTGAATTGATAGGAAGCCCAGACCCCAGTCTGTTACTGAGCTGCTCAGGCGAACCGAGGGTGGGTCTTGACCATCTGCCCTCGTCACAGGCCCTGGTGACCAGAGCCCTGCTCAGAGGAAGCAGGATCGATGAGCTGGCATATTCTCCCAACCTAGGACATTCTATCAGCCCCTGATGTCCCGGGCAGTAAATGTCAGTCCCTCCGAAAGTGCTGGTGTTATCAAACCTCCGGGTGTGATGATCCGGCATTTCTCAAAGAGCCTTCCCCCACGTGTGGAGGGAAGCAGGGGACAGAGGTTGATGAGGGAAGGAGAATGGGGGCAGTGCAGGAAGTGAAGGACTCGAGCAGGACCGCATCCTGAATGCAGTGGTCTCCTAGGTGACCTGGGTCTGCACCGTGTACACGACTGTCTGTTGTGTCATCAGTGCCATGCAGCCAGGGGACCCCACAACTAGGATGTTTCTAAAAGGGTAATATCTTTGAGTTGGTAAAAACTATCAACTTCTGGAAGCCCATCTTTGGCAGGGGTGGTATAGAACATTTGCATATATGAGTTTTAATCCTCATGGGACTCAAGGAGCTAGGTGGTAGGAGGCCATTGGACAGTGAGGGAAACCAAGGCTCAAAGGGACAAAGTTGCTTGCTCAAGGTCGTATGGTGGTGCTTGGCAGAGCTGGGAAAATCTGATTCCAAAGCTTGTATTCAGGGATTCCTCCTTCCTTCGTTCACTGGTTCACTTAAATTCCGTGTATCTCCACACCAGGCTCTGGGTAGAGCCCCTTCTCCCTGTCATGCCATCCCACCACCTCTCACCCAGCCCTGACACCTCACCAAGGAGAAGGACTCTCCAATTAGATGGACACTTTGGAGGAAGGCCAAGAAGTTGTCCCTTAAAACGTCTCTTGGGAACAAGTCCAGGATGAAGTCCACTCCTCCCAGCACCCAGAGGAGGAGTGGGCATTCAGTGAGCTGCCCCTGCTAGCACACACTACCGTGCTGCCTTCCAGCCCTACCGAG